TGCAGGGGAGGGCTCCCAGCAGAGCATCATTCTCCATTCAGCACGTGATCGACTGCTCTGGTGGGTCGATTTCATTCAAGGCCGAAGATAATTCGGGACGCGTCTTCCCGCCAAATTCGAAGAGAAGACGGGATATATGACAGTATAAACCAAGATACCGCTCTGTCGGATGACCCTTCAATACTCTTGGAGCGAATTCGGATCTCTAGGCCGGCTCGCTGAGATATAATTCATCCCGACGTGCAGAGACTCCAGTCGTCATAGTGAAACTTGCAGGATACACGACGACGAGCTCTTAAAATCTCAGATATATCCTACAAATGCAGTGGCGGAGACATATGTGATGCGGTGGACTACCTCCAAACATCGAAGTATCGTTTCGTTGCTGGAGCTTCCTACTTTCCGTATTTGAGGAAAAACAGGAATGCAGGGCGAAGGTGAGGCGGGAGAAGCATGGAGGGAATAGTTCCTCGAGCTCAGAAGGCCCGATGCTCCAGGACGTGGAATGAGTCACTGAAGGAGAAAACGTGGCGTGGTGAAAAGCCTCTGGGATATTCGCAAACATGAAACTTGACGAGCGCAGCTAACATAAGTCACTGACCATCAATCTGCGAGCGGCCTGATTTCCGCCTCGAGAATTTCCATAAATTATCGAGGTGATGCTCTCATCTGATCTCAAACATTGCTCCAGCGATTCCGGAGAGCCAAGCACGGTGTCTTTGCTCAATTTTCTTCCCGGTCCGACGCCTATTCCTCGGGACGCTGAATGGAAGGCTTGGGAGAAATCTGTTGAAAGCTGTTGAACAAGGAAAAGATGCTGCTGTCAACGTCTAGACTCTAGAGGGAAGGGACCGACTGACTTTGTTGGCTTACAGGCGACATCCACATCTGATATCAGCATCACTAGGTCTTGGTGTGAGAACTACGCCGGCAGAGAAGGTTCGGAAATACTATAAATGTATTCTTCCTCGATATTAAGCAGCTTGGAGGGAGATCCCCCCCCATCATCCGAGATATATCCCAGGAGATCTTCTCAGGCTCGTCGCGAGAGGGCCAGTCATCGCGACCGTCGACGCCAACGTTTGGCGAGATTACCGTGGAGGTATCATAAGGTGCGGATGCTTGGTGGGGCTCTGATTCAGGGAAGATTTCAGATCACTGGTAGCTTCACCGGGTTCAACCTCGGGATCATCGGTTATGTCGATTCCGGACGTATAATTTGCGGAAACTCCATGAGAAGCGACCCAATGTGTCTTGGAATAGTCGGATACATCCTCGTTCACCTCTCCCTCTGATATAACTGCGACGTGCGAAAGAAGAATCACGCAGTTGTCATCGTTGGCTACGACTTGACCAAAGAACCGCCCTTCTATATCGTCAAGAACCGTTGGGGAACTCGGTTCGGGGACGGAGGATACCTTTATGTAGCAATCGGAGCGAACGTTTTCGGTATAGCACAAAAAATCTCCAGAGTCAGTATCGATGAGCTTCAATCGATCGACCCCAATAAGATGAGCTTTGCGGAATGCAAAAAGCTGTCGTGTCTCCTTCATCGAATTCCTTGATATAAGGGGGCAGACAAGGGCAGAAGAGCCTCCACTGCGCTCCAATCCGGGGCGTCGCGTCGGCGCGGCAAATTGGAGCTCCATGTCTCGATTACCCAGGAATAAGGCAGGGGATAATTCACGGCATTTTTCCCGAAAATTCACGGCAATTTTCACCCCCATTGACTTCCTATGGAGGATCGCCTGAAAATACCGTGAAAATCCACGGCTCTTTGCGCGACCGCGCCAACTTCCCAGCCCTACCCATGGAGCATCTCGCTGGAACCAAGGGGTCAACGGATGCTCCCTTCAGAGAGCAGAAGACAAGACAAATCTGATGTTCGGGAGAAACTTGATCGAGTATCAAACATTTCGATGGAGGCGTGTTTAGCGCTCAACGGAATATGTGAGTGTATGCTGATGGGGTTGTTCCTCGATTGCAGCTGGCTGATGACGATGGGCGTTGGGTGACGATTTGACGATAGATTGGCATCAAACTGAGTAGCTACCTGCTACCTCTCACATCAGAGACTCCTCTCTTGCCCAGCTCTTGGCTCATGTAGTTATTCTTCGCTAGATTGGCGTCGCAGCAGAGCCGGATCTGCGCGCGAATCGGATGCGCGCTCCGGCCCGTCTTGCGCGCAAACTGGATCTGCGCTCTGATTAGGCCTGCGCGCGAAAATCGTCACGCAAGACTGGATGCGTCTTCTGCGGGAAGAGCTGATCTCACCTGCGATACTCGGCGTTCGCCGATTTCCAGGGCACGGATCACGAGCGCTCAGAGATACATATACGGTAAATATTCTAATTGAAGGGCAGTCATCCACAGACGGGCAGTCTCTAATAAACGGGCAGTCTCTCATAAACGGGCAGGTTTGGGAGGACCGAAGAAATAGACGGGCAGTCTCTAATACACGGGCAGTCTCCAATAAACGGGCACCTGTGGGGGCCGAAACTCAGGTGCCCAAGTCGCGGAAAAAGTGAAACTCCTCTCGAAGCTCGCGTATATGAAGATAGCATGGTTTAGGCATTTACTTGACGGTTTGAGTATTGTTATGGCTACATGAGCAACCCGGTTCTATTCTCTTGTCGGGGGACAGAAGATATAGACGGGCAGTCTCCAATAGACGGGCAGTCCCAAATGGACGGGCAGGTTCCGAAGGGGTCGAAAAATAGACGGGCGTGCCCGTCAATTAGGATATTCACGGTATGTCTTCTTCAATAGACCGAAATCATCAGGGGACTGCGTTCATCCAAGATACAGTAGTCTGCAGGGGACACTAGGCTTCTATGGGTCAGTAGTCTTTAATGGACGATAATTTTCAGGGGCCTGTAGCCATTCAAGAGATAGTAGTTTCCAGGGGACCGTGATCGTGAGGGGACAGCAGCCTTCAGGGGACCGTGGTCGTGAGGGGACAGCAGTCTTCAGGGGACCGCGGTCGTGAGGGGACAGCAGTCTTCAGGGGCCAATAGTCTTCCGGGACGCGTGATCTTCGGACTGTAGGCCTCTGGAGCAGTGGTTCCCAAACTTTTTACGGGGTTCCGTGGGGGTTCCGCAGGTAGACTTTGGGTTCCGCGCAATCCGCCACGGAAGCCCAAGGGTTCCGCGGAACCCAGTTTGGGAAACACTGCTCTGGGAACCAGTGCACCCTGAAGACTACTGTCCCCCGAAGACGACTATCTCCTCCTAGAGGACCTTTTGTTCCCTCCTCAAGGACTACTGTTCCCTCCCAGAGGACTGCAGTTCCCTCATCGAGAAGAACTGTCCCTTGGAGACTTCTGTACCCTCCTAGAGAACCACTGTCCCTTGGAGACTACTGTTCCCTCATCGAGAATCACTGTCCCTTGGAGACTATTATGCCGCATCGATCGAAGTATCCACCTCGACCTTGCGTGCCGATGTCTTCTTAGAATGTGATGATGACACTCGCGACATTGTCTCTGTCCTTAGTCCGACTAAAGATCGGCTTCGCGAATCGCAGTGTAATCAGATCTTGCACCATTCCCTTGCCGAGGTGATGGTTGATTCTTAAAATCGATCCTCTCCGAAAAGCCACGTGAGATGTTAGGACAATTCAGCTAAGGAACTCGGCTCCCCGCCTAATGGTTTCTCAATTATTATGCGAAGCCGCTTTTGCTCATACGGAATTCTTTGACCATTTTTTACACGGGCCGGAAAACCGTTAGTGGCAGTGCGAGGTAGAATAGCCAGTTTGCTACTGCGTTCCCTTCCGAGGCGGTCAGATGAGCGGGGAGACTTTCGAACACTGGAAGATCGTCGTGGCAACCAGCGATATAGCTGTTCGCAGAGAGGGATTCCACGAACCTCGTTTCGTCACTGTGATGCAACCGAACGTTTCCCGGGGCAGAGTGAAACTCCATGCGAGGTCGAATTTCTTCTTCCAATTGCGGCACTGTCAAGGACGAGCGAGCGTATCTGACGATTTGGTTCGGATTGGGGGAGATTATCTCGGAAAAGAATAGGGTTGAATAGACCTGCTTTTCCGCATGATTGCCTGGAGCTCCGGAAACGACGAATGAATGTACAGCGGAGGCTTTCTACTCTCAGAGGAATCTACACACATTGCTTCTCGGAATCGAGAAATCATTTGTGGTGACAGTGGGGCGCCCACTACAGCCTCGATTCCCGTCGGTTTTCCTGCTATTCCGTTTGCGGGCTATTTCTAATCCTCGAAATAATTATAATTATTGCGAACACTCGAAGTTGGTCACTAGGTTCAGGGTTCGACTTCGGTCAGATGCACTGACCACATCAATGGACCTTAATGACTAGATCAGAAACGGAGGGGCAGCGCTCACGAGCGAGTGCCGCAATCTTCTGTTTTCATCGAGGTCGTATGCAATGCTTATGAGTGTATTTACCTACTCGTCTGATAAAGTAATGAGATAATGATGAGCTCAAAAGCCGACAAGGCTCCTTGTGTTCTCAAAAACTAATGAATGAGCGACCTCCCGTCGACATATTATCACGGTGCGGGGTGCGATGAGCAAGCCCAGGTAATCGATGAGGGAGAGAGTCCACCATCTCGGAACGATGTCCGCCGATGGGGTTAGAGGCGTGCATCCTCAATCACTCATCGGCGATTACAGTGCGGAACCTGGTGTGGTCCTTTTGATCGGAAATGAACCCGAAAGAGCTGGTTGGGTTTGTTTGGGGTGCACTCAAAGCGACTCTGTCTAAATGATTGATTACAAGATGAATCATTGCCAGAAATGAGAAGGTCTCTGAGAAGATTCCAATACTTGATAGAGATTCCCCACAAAGGAAAATTCGAGATTCGTGAGTTGTGGAGCCGAAAGAGTTGATGGGAGCCGGGGCTAGACGGCGCTCGCCCGAACGGAGGGGTCGCCCTCCTTTCCCCCCATGCTTTCGGATTCTCAGTCCGAAGAAACAAGCTACCTGCTATGGCGTCTGATCTCTTCGAGTAGAATCATTGATCGCTGTGTGTCTTCAATAAGACCAGGACTGGAATATAGAGTAACAACTCTGCACGATTCCTTCGAGGTCACTTAGGATCCTCATCAGCGTCGTCCTTAGTTCCGAGGAGTGCTCTTGAGCTTTCGCGCGGCAGATCCCTCCGTGATTTTTTGTGTCTTCTCGCGGCCCACACGCAATGCACAACTCAAAAATGTCTACGTACTCACTCGAGGAAGTCGCCAAGCACAATAAGAGAAGTTCGTGTTGGCTCGTCATTCGTGAAGGAATATACGACGTAACGAATTTCATGAAAGAGGTGAGTGAGAGAAAACGTGCTCCCAGGTTCAAGGACGCTATGGAACCCCCCTTGTGTTGATCCCTGATTAGTTCCGATGATTGACCCCGGTAGCGTTGTGCGGATGACTGCGCGACCATTGAGAGCCCTACGAAAACGCGTAAGGGCTGTCGCACCTGAGCCGATACGGGGAGGCATTTACCCCATTCCGCAACTCTCCTACCACGGGGCTTTTCGACCGAGGGGACTTAGCAGAGTCGAATGCCTCTAGAGACTCGACTCTCAAACGGAGGCCTCCTTTGAGCGACAGAAGGTCAGGAACGAATCAGCGAATCCTACTCGATGGGATTCCAGTGAGCTCATACGCGCCGCTTCGGGTCGCGATCGAGCTCGATTGCTCATGTGTATCAGACGTAGGACTGGGAATACACTCTCAAGAGTATCAGCTGCTGGGTACGAGGAAAGACGATGGAGCATCATGACGAGGAAATGATCGGGAAAGTTTTTTCAGCATCCAGGAGGCGAAGAACTGATGTTCGAACAAGGCGGACGCGATAGCACCGAACTTTTTTACGCGATCGGTCACTCAACCGATGCAAGAATGCTTATGGCCAAACTCAAGATCGGCGAGCTGTGCGATGAGGATAAAGCGAAGATCAAGGGGGTAGGTTTCTTCCCGTGAAAATTCTCAATCATTCATTCGTCTTTTGTCGGAAGCAAACTCTATAACACGACTCCAGTCAGACCATGTTGCTTTCTGGAGAGGAGAACGCTTGAGCACACACGTCGAGCGCTCTCTGCGAGATGGTTCATCATTTTAGTCGTCTAAGGGGAACGAGAGTGGTCAGAAGCTCCACTACTTTCCCTGCGGACTCATATAATAATATTGAGGCACGACATTTTCTGTCACTTCGAAGATGAAAAAAAATTGGGCCCCCTGAAGATATTCTTTGCGTCCGTCAACGAGCCCTCTATTCTCCACAGACTGCCGGGAAATCCGACTCCCTCAACGCAACTCCATTTAAAGGCGGTGTGTCGGCGTGGATCTACCCGATTGCCATCGCGATTGGCGCGGCACTCCTCTACTTTTCACCCATGCCTCAAGGACCAAACTAGAGAGTTCATCCGTTTTTGTTGACAATAAATCAATATTTTTTCATACAGAGCTCGGTAGATCATAGTTCTTCATTTCACACCCGGAGAGCTCCCATAAGCTCGATGCCCCGCGTGGAGGGCCATCCTTCTCCGTTTCCGGAGAGGCGAGTCGATTCCAGTTGCAGTGCACGAATCTTCTTGATGTTGGAACGTCTCCACCCGGGCTTAGCTGACCTTTCCGACGAAAGGTTACTTCGTCCTCCACGTGGTCGGTACTTGTAGCTTCTTGCGGTCATATAATTCGGTCCTCTTGAGAGACGGCGACACCCAGATGTCAGCATCGGATCGAAACTTTCCGGGATTCTACTCCGGGTAAGGACTCGTTGCGAATTGCGACAAGCTTTTCCATGGAATCCCGAAACGACGCTGACTCCGGAAAATGATGACGAATCCCGGCTTCGCTCCTCTGAGTTCATTGAACTCATGAGGAGTGCCCGCCTGATTCAAAGCTAAGGCGAGAGCAGCCCGCGACATGGAATCTTGTGTACCTAATGCTCGAGAGACCCCCTCTCTTTATATCACGGGTACGGGGTCTGTAGAGCATGCTAGGGCGATCATTCGGAGAAAGTGACCACCATCTCGGGGCGACTTCCCCCGATGGGGGGGCACATCCTAGAGTCCTAGACTACTCTATGGCAGGACTATCGGAGCACGGGCGGTCGGGCCAAGCTGGCCCGCCGAGCTCTCGTCTTTCGCCCTTCAATCCGCATATCTGACGTCCAACAAACGCCTAGATTCTCGGTAGCTCGTCGGAGCGGAGACGACCCGACGCGACCCACCGTGAGAGGATGAAGAGAGGAGTCTTTAGTCTCGAGCTTTCCGGATTCGAATCGGCTTCACATGGGGCATGAGTAGATATTTTCGGATGGAGAAGGGAAGCACGACATGGCCCGCGGACGCTGTCCGCGTCCGAAAACCCCTTTTCCATCGCACACATGAGACTTTCGACTGAGAACTCTTCCCGAGACCAAAACTGCAACTTTACTTACTTAATTATATACGCCTCCGCCCTGTCCGACCTAGAGGAACTGCGATTCTTGATTCAGAAATCGAACGCCATTCGGCTCCCTTGTTGATATCGCTGTTCTCGCCCACCAAGTAACAAGAGAAACTTCTCGACGAGGCGTTCTCTCATTTAGAGGAGCGCACGCTCGTCTCACGCTTTGAACTTGCCCCACTCTGCGGACTCCTCCACAGCTGCTCAGAATTAACTGGGATTATTCTACCGATCGAGGACCGAGTATCCCGAGTCCGATCGGATGCAACGGAGGTGATGGAAACTTTCGCGCCAAAATGGGGCGGCAATCCTATGGCTCGCGCCTGTAGGCTAGTGGCTCGCATGAATTTGCTCCAAAGAATAATCACAATCGGTCAGCTGTTCGCTGTAACATGTTCCATGAGGCTCGACTCAGAGCATATCTTTGTGCATCCTCCACTTGACTCGCGATTCCCGTCTGAAGGAAAGTGGCTTTCGCATCTCGATCAATTGCTCCTCGGAGATGTTCACTGAAGAAAATCTGCGACGCGCATATCTATATTTGGGAGGACGGTTTCTAGCAGTTTCGGTCATTTCAACAAGTCGGAGACTGGAAAGCGCGCCTGCACAAATGCGTCTTGACTGGCGGAGTCGCGAAGCTGATCGGCATCCACAGCGAGCAGGGCCTTGGCGTCGATAAGGTTTCCTCTCATTCGATTGATCGTATTTCTACAGGTGAAGGCGATGCCGGGCGCATCCCGGAGTTCAGTTGACACTCGATATCTGAATGAATCGGCCTCGTCTCAAAGATCTACGTGGGCGGCACATAGACGTAGATCTACGTGGATGACTCAGCCTGTCCGTGCTCTTATTCTACTGGATCCTTGTCATTCCGGCCGAGCGGGACGGCTTTTTTTACCCGTGTGCTATGCCCTACGCCGGCCACTCGGAAAGATCCGTGACGCCTTGTTTTCATTGGATGAGATTTCTCTGGAGAAAAAGGTTAACCTGCATTTCTTGCCCGTCTCTTTCAGTCTCATTCACGGACTATTGGACGATTTTTCGGCGGCAGGTGGAAGAACTACTTCAGAGGACACATTCGTCATCGCTGTCTCCTCCACGGGAATTATCAATGCTCTCGAAGATAATCGAGAGCACGGTTCCTCTCGTCTCATGGGCTTTTCGTAGGAGCTCAAGAAAAATCCTGAAGGGCTTCCTGCCACGGACAAATCAGTCGGATCAGCTAACGCAGAGTCTTTCAGATTTCTCGGCAAGAGGGAATTTCTCTTGGCGTTTCTAGCATTAGCACAAGGAGCTCCAGGCTAGCTTATGTCACGGACGTAACCGTTAGATGCGTGAAAATTTCTTCAGGATACTGGTGCCTTATATCTCCTATATATACGATCTTCTCGTGATCGGTTCGGCATCTTCGTAATAATATCGAACTTCATTTACCGGAGTCTGGTGTAATTGTTAGAATGTTAGAACGTACACATTTTATCCTCGAATACTTGTTGCGTTTGCTGTGAGGCTCCAGTCGAACTGATGAGCGTTTTTTCAAGAGTATATAATATGATATTGTCCATCTCCGTAATATTCGGTATCTTCGTAATGCTTCACATGTAGCATCACATCTTTGTGTGCATTTAATTCTTGATTGGGGCGATTAAAATCGGAATGGTCGTGATGAAAGCGAGATTGAGAATGATGTCATCACGAATGTTAATTTGTCGGAGACGGAGGTGCGCTCTTGTTCGAAGTTGGATTTCTAAAGCGATGGAAAGTGTGCCTCATCCCTTCTGCGGTGCCGGGACAAGCGGGGCTGTGTCGTTGATGATGGAATATAACATGTTTATTGTGGTAGGTACTTATAAGTCATCCCGAGAGCGCAGTGAAAGTAATGGAGGCTTATTTGGTTAATCGCTCAATGATATGATGAATCTATGTTTGAGACTGACATAGCGAATAAGCCGATGAGTGCATGGGATGGGACAGCTCAAGGTGAAATATATGTTGTACGTGGCGGTTGAGAGAGGTCTGGATGCCTCGAGCCGATACCGATAACGTAGCTGGCAAGCATCGCGATTCTCCGCGGAAAAACATGACTCGATTCCCGCAGTCAGCCGCGTAGTCATCAGCTCTCAGTTCTCCCCTAACAAGCTCTCGGGCATTTCAGAACCTGGTTGGCACGCGAAATTCACGGCATTTTAGCTGACCAGCATCTCAGCGGAGAGGCTCGATACTGCGATGATAACGCTGAGATGTGGTCCTGCGGACGAGGAATCCAAAAAAATGACGGAAAATGCGATGACATGTGCGTTTTCCCGATGATAGGTTTGTCGGAGTATCTCCTCTTCTTGTTGAATATGTGAGGTGGGAAGGTCATAATTTTTTCGTGGCGGTCAGTCGCGAAGAACATGATGGGGGGATAGGCGGACTGTCGAAGTTTCTCCTCGAATGCCGCAGGACGAGCTCTCTGAGTGCGCTACGTATGTCGTGCCAAGAGAGCATCTCGGTGCTGATGGAATTGGAATGAAGATATCAAGGAGATTCTGAGGACTGGATGCAGTTGCTAGCCAGCCAGAGAGTTAAGAGGCAAGAGGGAAACTCCGCGTTTCGGGGCGCTCGAGACAAGGTTTCTCATTACTCATTACAACTTAGATTGATCGTGCGAGAACTGTTCCGTCGGATCCTCAGAAACTTCGGAGTATCAAAGTTAGTCATCCCCAATAATTACATTCGTAGCGGAGAGAAAGAGGGTGAAATTCATACGACAAGAGAAATCTCTGAAAAATTCCAAATCACCATGCGCTCAACCAAAACTTCCCCAGGGAACCATCGGGATGGGATACTGCGCCTTAGTCGGAGACTTCCATTCCCCCAAGGAGCGTCGGCCGAGGATACACTTTATCTCCCGGGATATGACCATAGAATAGTCTAGAGCGCGATAGAGCTCTGAACGAAGTAGCTGCGATTTACCAAAGGACAAGAAGATTCATTAGAAGGATCACCTCATCACTAGCAGTCTGAGTGGACGTTGGAAAGAGGTGGAATTTCGAATTAGGCGCCAGGGAGCGGCGGTGATTTCCCAAGAAGCCGATCACCATTACCGACCTCCTCTCCTCTAGCGCGAGGAGCTGCAGAGAGTGGCGTATTTGTGGTGAAAAATATATCCACCATTCCAAAGAGATGCATGAAAAAAGTTTCTATGTCTGATGAATAGAAAAGCGATATGAGAGGACATCTCCCCCAAAGGAGACGGACAGCGGAAGCGGACGCCTCATCCCATATTTTTGGCCCATTCCATAGAGTTTATCCAAGCCTCCCACCATCGTTTCCATGAGCGACCCTCGGCTGAACTCCTATTTTCCGGTTTCTGTCATTAATACATCGGTGCTCAGCAAGAAGAACATAGCGCGGGAATTCAATTTTCGATCGGAATCGAGCCATTGGGATATATGCCATTGCTCGTAAGTTCCGAGTAGCGAATATTCCCTGGGAAACTCCGGGAAGCGGACATGAGAGAAAAAGACGTGTCCCCTTAAATCGCAAATCTGGCGATGAAGATAAGTGATCGACTGTGGCATACCGAGGGGGCGGGTCGCCCTGGGCATCAAGTTTCTAGGGACATCGAAATGGCCCGAAGAAGGGCTAAAACTTCTGAACTGACTGCAAAATCAGACTCATATCCTCGGAGACTGACCTCGAAACTCCTCGGTATGGTACACAAGCAAAGGACGAGCCGAGAAAAGATGGAAAAAAAAGTCCGATGGGGGCATCAAATCGGCGTCTTTGGTGGAATCGTGGTCCGCCCAGGGTATCGTGGGAGCACGGAACGTGGATTTTTGGACACCGACGATGAGAGACGGGCATCAATCAGCTCAAGCCAAAAGCGCTTTCCGGAAGGCAAGCTGTGTTGATAACGAACTGCACGCCACCGGAACCCCGAATGATGCTACCCGTGATGTTCGACGCTTTTATATGAGCTCCCCATCGTCGATTTCGATTAGCTCTAGTGTTCAAGGGATTCTCGCCATTGAGACTTGCTGGAAGCTTCCTTCCTGTATCCGAGGCGGTCGACTAGTTTCGGAAGCTGTCTTCAAGTTCCCCGATCCCTATCAGGCTAAAGCCTACGACTACTTGGAGAAGTCATCGACATCGTAGTCGATCCCTACATGAGTGAGCGAGGAAATCTATTACGAGTAGGCCGAGGTTCGAGACTACAGCTTCCCTTCGACCTCTCTCGCCGTTTCTGCATCCATGGTGCTTCTCATCTGATGTAGGAAACGGACGCGATCGTAATTGTGTCGAGTTCTAATCCTCTTTTTCCGCGACAGAGATTCCCGCGATCCTTGAGGGCCTAGTCCTCGCGTCCTGTGTTTCCGGACAACACGCGGCGGCAGAATCAGAAGAGGCTTCCTTCTTCTCTAGCGGGGCTGTGGGAACTATCGCCGCACTGATCGAGGAATCAGACGAGATCTGCGTGTGTTCGCTACAGGTTCGATTCTCGACTTCTTCTGGGAACTTTGGTGAGCTATTGACATCTACCGGCTCCGGGGCGGAGTTCTCCAAGACCCGGTGAGAATCTTTCTATCGAGATCATCGACGCGAGGAGCATGAACGGGCTCCGGAGGCTCGAGAAGTAAGAGAGGCATGCCCTTCTATGAGAATATCTACGGTGGCCTTGAATTTATTTCACGTGTTGACAGAAATCCGATGCAGTTCCCCCTCTGGACCCTTGAAAACTGATCGAGCGGAATTCGGCTGCACGCAACTGTGCACAGCAGAGAACTGAGAATGGTTTACGCCAGAGCTCTCGAGACGGGTGCAATACGCGGGCTCTCGATGAAAACGCTAGGACCACGGTCATTCTACGGTACGATCAACGAAACAGCATCGGATCTAATTCGGAATCAATCCACGTCCAGACCGCTATGATCTCATTATAATACGTCGGAGTGCATGGAGCTGCGAGGTCGCGCCCGTCCGAAGTAGAATTTCACTTGCGGTTCAGCGAAGAGGTTCTTTGGGACGTGCCGATAACCTGCTCGCTCTGGAATCCCCTTGCTTCCTAACCGATCGAAATTCCTTTCACTTCCCGCGGCGTCGGGCGTCGATTCATCTTGGAATAATCTGTCAAGGGATATCTGTGATGACGTTAAGGACCAGATGGAAAGGAAGCAGAAACTCAATTCAGGCCCTTGTTGGCTTCTGACATACTTCAGAAGTCTTCTGCATCAGAAATCGATGTCTCGCGAGATATCGGACGAGGTATCAGCCGCCGGAAATTCCGCGGCGCCGTTCTCTTGTCATCGGGTGTCGGCCTGGCCCATGCTCTCCACTGCCTTTTTCGCATAATCATTCTGTCACCGAGGCTTCTCGATAATCCACGGACCCCCTTTGAAAATGAAACATGGATTTGGAACGCACGATCATGATTAATGGAACAACGTTTTATCGTTCAATCAAACGTATTGACGCGACCTTCCGATTCGGATCAGGATCAAGCGAGTATTCATATCAGGGTGTGGTCTCAATCTTTCGCAAGTTGCACGCTATGGCCGTGGGGTTGGACGAAGAACATACCGGAGGTGGAATCTACCAAACGAGATTTCGTCTATTCGTATTCTGAGGCTTGGCCCGCGATGAACTCATTCATGTTCCAGCGACCCACCCTTACACGCATTCCTGAATATCCGTGGTCGACCGTCAGCCTCGAACAGCGCTGGGGCGCACAGACTTGTTGACGCAAATATTTGTAGACGGAGATTTCGATTCAGAGCGCCTCCCTTACTCCCGCTGATCCTCTCCTCTTCCCTCCGACCATCTGTTTGCTCCCGTGTACCGTTCGATTTTTCCTTTCTCACCCGGCGAGCGTTCCGGCCGCCGATTTCCGTCTATCATTGATTTTTCTGGCGCAGGATATATTTTCCCTTTAAACCCGCGGGATTCTCGGCTTCTTTGACGATGTTCGAACACTTTGAAATCAATTACCTCGTGGGAACTCATTCAGACTCCTTTAATCTGGCAGCAAGTCGACTGTCATCCGAGACAAATCGGGACTCGGTCCCTCGAGAGCGTTGACTAAGGATTTTTCCTGGGAGCCGGCGAATACATCCAACCGAACGAGAGAACGAGAGGAGAACATGGTGGCTCCCGCTGTCTCACAGCGAATCTGGTAGAGCACAAGCGGATTTTAAGTGCGAGTCCTTCTTCAATTCGACCGCTTGAGAAGCCGACAGAGGAGTTCAAGGAACCCAGGACGCTTTTCCGTCTGTCCCTCCGTCCCTCCCTTCTTCCCGATTAAAGGAGCAAACATTACAGCTATTCGCTAATTGGCCGTTGACCGTTAGTTCGAACCAGGAGAGGATCGGGGGACTTTCATCAATTTCCTTTAGTCTCCGCGCAGGCCTTTCAAAGCAAAGCGTTCTCGAATTGAATTAGATTGCTTCACTCTTTCAGCCGACGTGTTCAGCCTTCAACCACCGAGCAAACGACGGATGGAGCGGGATGCCAGTCAACAAATTCGACGGGGAGGAAAAGCGGAGAGATCATGATGATGGTGACAAGGGCGACAACATCTCCCTCGACTTCGTCCGGGAGGCTTCGGAGTCGACCCGGCTTCTGAGAAACATCCACAGGCGCTCAGTCAGTCAGTCTCCATTGCCAGCTACAGAGCGCAATTTTTCGAGCGAGTTTCTAACTTTGAGAAGACGGTCTAAAAGTCACTCTTCGCCGCCCGACAATCTGCCCACGTCTGTTGAGCCCACCAGACGCGCGAAAAAGCTCGAGCTATTGGGGCTCGACACGGGTTCCAAAAACGGGCCTCAAACAATAAATGGGAGGAAGGATACCCAGGATTTTCGCCGATTGAGCGGATATTTTCCAAGTCGAATTTTTCCTGCTCAAGACGCTTGCCGTACCCCCCTTATGAACTCGCGGTTACCGCTCGGGAGCTCAGTACATAGCCAATGGACGAGCCAACTCGCGATCGGCGTCGGACGAATCAAACAGACGGGTTTTCGGTTTTTCGCGTGTTTCGGCCTCCGAGCCATCCATCGAAGGATTTATCATGCTTCGATCTCTCGGAAGCATGCCTCGTGGAGGCATATATACTGTGTGAGCCCTCAGAAGGATCAGCGCGTGAGCTCCATCAGCACGAAGTACGTCTCCGTCGATTCCCACCGTGCTTCTCTCTGAGAAATCCACGTTCCTGCTGTGTCGCTGGAATTCCCCCCGGAGATTCAAGCGAAAGAATCGCTGTTTTTTAAATTTCCAGGAGAGATTCCCCGTCCGACTCGTGGAGGACTCCGCTGTCTCGAGTTTGGTGTCTCTCCGCGCTCCGTCGGAAGTTCGGCATTCCTCCTGAGAGAGAAAAAGCCCCAAGCAACACCCTTATGCCGTGGAAGTCGTCGAAAATCACGGGGCATAATCCATTCGTTCATGCTCCTCGAGTTCCGCGATCCGAACAGATCTGACGCATCCTGGAGATAGTTTGCTTCATGCCATTATCGGAGGTGAAAGCTAGAGGAATTGCGCCGGGCAATGGCCTTTCGGGACGGGCGTAGCCCGGATCATATCGGCCCCAGATATCCTGATGGATGTCATCCTGTTGACAAGAAGTATGCCGCGAGAGCGTGTACCGAGACAGCGGCAGGCGCGGTTCGAGCCGAGGGAGGCGAAGCATTCGGAAGTACCTAGTCATAGAATTGTTCCCGGGCCGGTATTCGATCCGGTGCAAGACGAAGCGATGGATAAGTGGTCCGCTTATCGTTGACAGGTGATTCATAGCGTCCCGCTGGTGGTGAGGGTGCCGCCGCCGCTGCTGCTGAAAGCGAGCAGTGGGATCTGTTGTTTCTGGACGGCGAGGGAAATGAGAGCAGGCAATCAACATGCAGTGCTTCAACAGATGGCTGCAGCTGCTCGAGGATGAGGCAAAGAAAGAGGAGAAAGAAGGCTTCCGTGTGAGTTCTTAGCACGTGATCCCAACTTTCACGATGCAATTCGAGCACGCAACCCAATACCTCTCCTTAAGAAGGAATCCTTATGTGCACTACGCCCCATAGCTTTTCCCCTCGAGCCTTTATCCCAACTCTCACTTCCCCGAATCCCCCATCCCCGTGCCCAGCTTCGTCCGGACCCGACGTTCCCACATCGCAACCCAGAAGCGCTTCTTGCAGTAGATAAACCCAGACGATGGGCTACAGGGTCACAGTCTAGGTAGGTGGCTGGCGGCGGAACCGCCTCCTCGTTGTTCCTGTTGGTTCCTTCTTCTGCATCCACCTCCCGTTACCCCAGCTCGTCCCGGAGAAAGTCACAACAGACAGCCATTCTCAGTGAAGACGGGTTCGTCTACCCCTCGTTTCGTTCACTGTTCGCTTCGGGGAAATGATTAGCTCCACGTCCCACTGCTTGACTGACTGAGTGGATAATGTCAAAAAGCATCAGAGGGTGATTCGCCGTTCGTTCGAATACGAGCCGGTTCGAGTGAGCGGACGATTCTACTTTCGCTGTTTCTTGCGCTCTTTTGCGTAACTTCATCAGACTATACGTCGATGAGGTATTCCGGTGAATTTTTCTCTCGTCGGACGCCACCGCATCATTTCCGAGCCGTCTATGTACCGAGTTTTTGTCCGGAGCCCGTACCAGCGCTGGGTCGATCAGGAAAGTGCTGAGTCCTGACCGTATACCTGTGCATTCAGCCTTATTTAGACCGAATTGATGGTTTACTGTTTATCATAAAGATCCAACGAAAAAAGATTCACTCCAATGAATGGAGTGAATAGCTGGTGTAGCAACAGATGATTAACATCAAGACTATGAGGAATCTGAATTGATCTCGGTCGAGGTTTTTATGTCTGACTACGAACCACCGCTCCGCTTGTCCATGCTTTCGCGAGATGTGTGGCTCGAAGTAATCTCCAAAAAAAACAAGAAGACAGAGAAGAGACTCATGAGATCTCAAACATTCCGGGTTCTGTAGCTGAACCTTGTCGGCATGTAGATATTCGACCCGAAGGTGTTCAGATGACTCTTACAGTCTTTCGAATTCTAGAGCGATCGTGGAGTTCCTGCGAAAAAATTGCCGGCTTGTAATTTGGCGTAAGCAGCATGGATGATGCTTCGAGCGGAGTCCGGGCTTGTTTCCCCCGAGCTATTCGTTCCGATGCTTCGGAAGCTTTCGGACTGTTGATGATTTCCGCGGAGCTGAGCTACGCAGCGGATGTCTCAGGCTCAATCGGCATAGGGACCTTGCAAATGACCGTTTGAACATCACGAACAATCCTCTTCGAGAATGAATCGCATATTTATGAATGAGATCACCCGCGTTTTGTCCGATGCGAAGACATATGTGAGTACGTATACATACATATAATACATACATTTGTCTGCGCAGTCAGAGCAATGACCTCGCGTTCAGATCGATAAGCATGGGCTTCTCCGAGGCAGCTGTGAGAACTATCACAAGTGATATCTTCGATCTCCTTCCTCTTTCTTATGCAGATGACGTCTCGGGAAGCAAGACCGAGCAGCAGCGAACGAAGCCTTGGAAAGACAGATTGACAAACAACAAAAAAACGAAGGAACAGATGGACTATAAGAAAATGGGCTTCTCTTCTCGTTCGGATCTTTGCGAGCTTGGTGATAATGCGAGGCAGAATTCGCAGCGTATTCAGGTGAACCACGATTCCTGAACCACGAGACAGAAAATAACCCGAAGTGTTCAAGTATGTAGTTTAAGTTGAAGCTCATTCATCGACTCTGAATTTCGAGCTCCCCCTCAGGGTCAGGATCTATCTTAGCGACCCCGAGCGTCCACGGCAATCGGATTCTCTCGAGTTTCGAGCACAATAAGTTGTCCTCGCAGAGATATATGGGATGCGCCTCCGAAGTCTGCGTTCCGTGGTCGGTCGTCGTCGAATGACTGGGCGGGTGAATGTTTGGGTCGTTGGGTTTCCTGCAGTTGGGTCGGCGCGGGCTATCAACCGCAGCTTCCCGGGAATTAGGACCTTGCCTTCTTGCCTCTGTTGGTCGGACGTATTCGCCCTCCTCATCTGCTCCTCTCAATCCTGCTCCGTTTCTCGGAATTTCGTTGTCAAGCCTCTCCTCCGCCATCATCACGTGCGTCCCTCCGCCCTCCCCCCTTTCCCTTCTAGTGTATTCAATAGGGAGCGGACGCCGTCAGGAATGAGAATCGGTGACGATATGTGTGTCGACTTCCGACATCCCGTCGAGAGAAGACAAAGAATGCCGCGACATCGAGCTTGACCATGCAAGAGGAATCGTCGGCTTCATCCCGTTCACGCTATCAGCGAGATCTCTGATGGCGGAAGCGACTCCTTTCCCTGGAAATGCTCGAATAGACGTCATACGTTGTCAAGTGATTCAGAGAGGAAAAATCCGGAAGGGGAAAGTGAACGTCGAGGAAACTTCTCGAATTTCAGCTAGGATAATTATTATTGCGGTTTGCTCTGAAGAAGCACGATGATTGCTCTTGAAGTTCTGCGCGAGCGTCTCGGGAGGAATTCACGTGCCGTGTTCCGAGTCCGAGAATTTTATTTCCAGACCCGTCTCCTCCCATGAGCGAGGCGGTCGTCCTCTTGCCGGAAGCAGGCGCTTCCTACGCAAATGAAATGCCAGGGCGCAAATACTGCCAGAGCGCAAAGTCTGGCCTGTCTTTCCGATGAGAAAGTGTGACAGCTAGTTCACGGAGGGGACGTCATGCCTAACCTGGGACGACGGACTGTCCCGCCCTTCTCACCGTGCTTAGTAAGGGGACTCTGGTTCGCGGAAACTGTCACCTGAAGGCTTTCACACATCCGATGTCAGAAGTCTCTTAACATTTTCTTGGCCGTAAGGATCCGCGACCCGGATGTATCCTCTGACCGAATCTCAGATCGCTCGAGCCACGCTGCGCTGACCCCCCGATGTGCCCATCACCGGTTATCGGCGCAGATTCATGAAGGAAATCCCTGACATATAGGTGGATAGTCCTCACGCTTTTGGAGGAGAAAATTCATTTATTCTTTTTGAGAATAAGTCGTCCCAAGGAGAAGTTGTACCGGATAAGCGATAGACCTGAGAGCGACTGGGCGAGCGAGCTAACAGTCTTAATGGAAAGCCAGCGACAGGAAGGTTGTCGGCAGAGATACCCCTCGCGGCTGGTCTCACTCAGACAGAACTCAATCACCTGCAGCTCGATCAAGTTCCTACTCTGTTTACTCTGCCGCAAGCCTGCTCGGACGCAAACCCGTATCGAATGGCGGCAACACTTCGGATGCGTTGTGGGAGGCGGAAGACTGACGAAGGCTATTCGAGCAGAGATGTTCGAGCGAACTTCCTATCACAGTATAGATTTCACTTATGTATTCTTTATCGAGTGTTTCCTCTACTTCATATTTCTGATCGCTGGTTCCCATAATCGGGCGATTCGGGCTCTGATGATCATGATCATTGATCGGGCTCTGATGATCATTCGAGTTTCCGTAATGGAATGGAAACTGAAAAAACTCAGGGTCCCTCAAAATCCGAGTCCCTCAGTGTTCCATCGAGTGGAGAACCGTCGATTAAAGGGGACCACCTCTGTCTGAGACTTCGGTTTCCAAGCGATCAGAGCGCGTCGATATTCTATGGCAGAGGTTCCCAAACTTTTTCTTCGGCGGAACCCTTCGCGGAACCCCTAGTGTTCCGTGGAACCCGTCCTCATTTTTCAAAAAATTCAAAGTCCTGTCAATTGCTCTTTCCTTTCAGCTATTAGAGGAGAAAACACGCGTTTGTTCCGGAGCAGACCCGAATGTTTATTGCTTAAGTCAATTCTTGTGTAAATTAGGAATGCTCATCTAGTGGGAACGTGCCTTGTGCAAGGACCTTCACAACGTGCATTCGATGCCGATCGATGCGCCAATTAGAACGATCCCCTTCGTATTGAGGAAGACATTTAGGAATCAGGAAAAGAAGTTGCCCACAGGGCTACGTCACCTAGGGCCCGTATATGACCATACATATGGAAGCACAACCTCGTCGCGGAACCCCGATTTGCGCAAAGAGCAGCCCACGGAACACTGGGGTTCCGCAAAGATTTTTTCACGGAGCCCCCGGAAAAGAGCGACGGAACCCCAAGAGTTCCGCGGAACCCAGTTTGGGAACCTCTGTTCTATGGACTCTGTTGACCCAGTCGAAGAGCCATTTAAGTCTCGTCCGCGCTTGAGCTCAAAACCACCGTGCGTGAATGGCGAACGCCTTCATCTGGGAAAGGGAAATGTCCGGGGGATAGTGCAACAAATCAGGTTGAGTAATTTGTCCGAAATCACATCTGAAACACAATCAATCATGAGGATATTTTTAGGGCTCACGGGAAGGTTTTGCGGCGTCCTCAACGAACCAGCGACGGAGGACTGGCCTCCGGTCCAGGCGGGAGATTTGAGGGCGAGTTCGCTTCGAGACATTAGTCTCGTGGAAATATGCAGCAGTTCGGACAAGCGGAAGCCCCGGAAGGGCGCGTTTGATTTCTTCGATTGGAAAGTTGCTCCGGAGAAGACAAATGCTGATCGAGTCTCCTCTACTGGAGAACCTGATTTTCACCATGCGCTTGGAAGAGGCTCGACGCTATAATTCAGAGAGAGGAGCTCCCCGACCCACTCTCTCGCAGCGTCCGCGAGGAGGAATTTCGTGTCTTCCTCCAGTGGCATTTTCCGTGCAAGCCTAGGCACAGCACTTGGAATGTAGTCGCTAGTCTCGATGGATTCCGTCTCTCGTCGCTTGCGCATCACATAATACAATTTTGAGATTGATGGAGCTTCGTTCAACACGAGTCAAGTCGGCCGAAGACTTCGAGGAACGAGCAAGCCCTCCGTATATCACGGTGATCTGCCGAAAAATTTTTTCGTCATTTCCATTCCCGCTGTCAACTACCTGTGGCTCCGAGCGCCTATGTGAGCGGCTGTTGCGCACTCAATGACTTTGC